TCAGGATTTGTCTCATTTCTCAAGATTGTGAATGTAGCTATCACTTTGTAGTCAAAAGTCAGGATTTGTCTCATTTCTCAAGATTGTGAATGTAGCTATCACTGTGTGGTCAGAAGTCAGGATTTGTCTCATTTCTCAAAATTTTGAATGTAGCTATCACTGTGTGGTCAAAAGTCAGGATTTGTCTCATTTCTCAAGATTTTGAATGTAGCTATCACTGTATGGTCAGAAGTCAGGATGTGTCTCATTTCTCAAGATTTTGAATGTAGCTATTACTGTGTGGTCAGAAGTCAGGATTTGTCTCATTTCTCAAGAAAAATCCTGACTTCTGACCACACAGTGATAGTTACATTCAAAATTTTGAGAAGTGAGACAAATCCTGACTTCTGATCACACAGTAATAGCTACATTCCAAATTTTGAGAAATGAGACAAATCCTGACATCTGACCTGAACAGTAACAAGTACATTCAAACCACGACTGACTTGAAATTCTCTTTTTTATATATTTAGCAAGTATTTCTTCGAGTAAAACAGCGAAGTTTTCTACTTTTCAAAGCAACTTAGAACAATTTCTACATTCATAGAACATTTATCATCATGGATGTATTCTGTTTATTAGGCTTGTAAAAACATCATAAAAAAGTAATATAAAACACTCAAAAGAAACACCACCAAATATAAGTTCGATGCGTACCGTTAGAGCCGTTTTAATAAATAATATTTAGGATATATTTTCTTAACAATTTACCGATCTGTTTTGTACTAATTTTTTGCACATCATAATATCGCCCAATTTTTTAGAAATTCAGACAGGAAGTGGTACTATCTCTTCCTGAAAGGGATAAACAATTGATATGTAATGTAATAGCTGGGAATATAGATATGTATAATGAATGGTATAGGGAGACTGAGGAAAGGGGGGAGATCCACTCTGTCCAGAGCCCCAGTAATATTTAATCCGGCCCTGCATATCGTTAAGCAATAGCAGTCAAACTGAACAGAACCGCTTGTCTCGTTGTTATAAATCACCTTTTCGTAATATGTAAACATCGCAATCAATGTTGAGAGGTGCTCCCCCCCCCTCATAACTTAACGACAATTATTTCGCGTGTAATAGTACTGAAAAATCGTGACTAAAGCGTCTGTCTGTTGTGATATTCCTGTAAAATGCAATATAAATTTTCACGTTGAACTTCATAAAAATCCCGGTTACTGACACATGCGTTTTTATTGATAAATACTTGTTTTTCACTAGTTAAAAAAATATTCAAATGTCAGTCATTACTTTCCCAAGAATACAAATTAAAATAGCAGGACTTATCTGTTATACAAACTGTTTCCCTATTACCAAGGAGAATATTGTTATTTCTACGACATACACTGACGACCACTGTAGCCATCCACAGTTACGTACACTACGCTGCTATGTAAGTTTGTCTTAAGCAGTAAACATTTCACAAAAAAGAAGCTCGTCTTGAGAATTTGTTTTCCTGTACACTACGCTGTTATATAAGTTTGTTTTAAGCAGTAAACATTTCATAAAGAAGAAGATCGTCTTCATAATTTGTTTTCTTGTACACTACGCTGTTATGTAATTTTATTTTAGGCAGTAAAAATTTCATAAAGAAGAATTTCGTATTGATAATTTGTTTTTCTGTACACTACGTTGTTATGTAAGTTTGTTTTAAGCAGTAAACATTTCATAAAGAAGAAGTTCGTATTGATAATTTGTTTTTCTGTACACTACGTTGTTATGTAAGTTTGTTTTAAGCAGTAAACATTTCATAAAGAAGAAGTTCGTATTGATAATTTGTTTTTCTGTACACTTCGCTGTTATATAAGTTTGTTTTAAGCAGTAAATATTACATAAAGAAGGAATTCGTTTTGATATTGTGTTTTTATTTCGATGATACATATGATCAATTGGTTTTTCACTCTCAAGACGCTTCGAACGAATGTTAATGGAAGCGTTTTGTTTCTGTAGAAGTCTAACTAAGAACACCCTTCTGTCTTTGACAGCTTTTCATTTAAACATTGGACAACAGGCTTAACAGGCGAATGTACTTCTAGACAAATAGCATCTTCATCGGTTATCTAAAACACCCCCAGTATAAGTCTTGAATGTATGGTTGTTACTTTACATGTGAATTACTACTTTTTTAAACCATTGAGCTATATTTAATGTATGAACCGTAATACAACATCAGAAGTGTTATCCACATCTGTCGCAAGTAAAATACACCTACACAGGAGAATAAAACGAGAATTTTCTGCCTTTTTTAGAGAAGATTGACAGAGAACGAATCAGTTTCGAGCTCTAAACATAAATGTAACGAAGTCTTATATTTGAGTATATGATAAGTTATATGCTCTTTACGTGTTTTACTTGCAGTTTTCAAAAGTTAAATATAAGGTAGAATGAAGCTGTAAAATATACATTTGCTTATGAAATATCCGTTGTCTTTGGGTTTCGTATTGAGACAAGTCATAAATCTGAATTTTCAAAATAAATCAAATGCATTCCGTCCTTAGCTCTATATCTAAAATATAACTTAACACATTGTCCTAATTACGTTGCTGATTCAGCTCTATACCTGAAATATAACTTAACATATTGTTCTAATTGCGTTACTGATTCAGCCCTATATCTAAAATATAACTTAACACATTGTTTTAATTACGTTGCTGATTCAGCCCTATACCTAAAATATAACCTGACACATTGTCCTAATTACGTTACTGATTCAGCCCTATACCTAAAATATAACTTAACACATTGTTCTAATTACGTTGCTGATTCAGCTCTATATCTAAAATATAACTTAACACATTGTCCTAATTAATGCAACTGATTCAGTTCTATATCTAAAATATAACCTGACACATTGTCCTAATTACGTTGCTGATTCAGCTCTATATTTAAAATATAACTTAACACATTGTCCTCATTACGTTACTGATTCAGCCCTATACCTAAAATATAACTTAACACATTGTTCTAATTACGTTGCTGATTCAGCTCTATATCTAAAATATAACTTAACACATTGTCTTAATTACGTTACTGATTCAAAATTGGCAAATTGTTTTGTTTTTAACAATACTGACAAAAGAAGAGGGAACCAAGTCCGTATTTAAATAAAAACAGGAAAGTACTACTTTGAGTGACGAAAATTATATCATATGTTAAAGTTACCAAAGCATTAAAGAAAAATTTGGAGAACATAACAATCCCAAATCCAGAAACAAATATTATTACAATGAAATTTAACAAAGTATGAAAACAA